CATTTTCCATTCACCCTTGCACCCATTTTTCCATCCTTCCTCTTGCTCCCACTCTTATTTCCAACCCAGAATCACGATTTCGATCTTGGAGTATTGGGCTCTATTTTGACACAAGATCCAACCCTCCTAGCCCACTACCAAACTGGCTTGTCGAAAAATTTGGGCGAAATGTGGAACGATTCACGTCTGAACCAGCTTGCTGAAAAATTTGTCGAAAAATTATGGTTCGGGTACTCTTTTTCTTTTGGGGCGATGGTTTCTTTCCCGGTGGAAGCGACGACGGCAGCGGTAGTCATTTGGATGTTGAAGATTAGCGTTTTTGTTGCCTACTGGCCTACATATGTATGGGCCCTCTCTTTGTGTTTTGGGTTGTTGTTCTACTTTGTTGTGGGGTCTATTTTATCTTATATGTCTTGCTTTGTTTTATGTAAAGCTTTGTGTTTTGTTTGGACCTAGGCCCATCTTTCACAAATTGTAATTTCCTTTACATTAAATGGAGTGCTATTTCGACCAAAAAAGAAAAAGAAAAGAGGTATGGTGACTATTTGTTTATAATTAAATGGTGGAGACCGGTCTAGCTTATGTAAGCTGTTAGAAGAGTTCGTTTGAAAGTTACGGCTATAGTTTGTTCGAATGCTCAACAGCTACGAATACCTAGGACTCTTTTTCTGTATAAATAGCTTTAGAATCTCTTTTCTCTTGAACAAGATCAGGATACAATTTCATTGAATCACAAATACTCTTTCATCTTCTTCATTTTTCTGTAAAACTGGTTTCCTTATGTGAATATGTAATACCGAGTTGTTGATATGGCATCACGAGCCAACAATGGCTACCGCTGCTGAGATTCTTCATGCTTCCGCACTCATTCTGGATTAGCTTTCTTCTGAGTTTGGTTAGAAACTGTTGTTGACTAATGGGTCTTCAAAATTATGGTGTGAGCTGGACGCAAATGGAAGCACGAAGCCCTTTTTTTTCTTCTTGATATTCCTATTAGAACAGTGCAACTGCCAGTTCGGATTTTGTGACTGAGATTAAGGCACGAAGCTACTTTGTTTTCATAGGCAAGATTGTTGTATCCTACTCTCGGAAAAGTTTCAGAGGGAAGTGTCAATGCTTTCAAAGGTTAGACATGAAAGCATTGTCAATTTTGTCGGTGCATGCTTTGGGGAATAGCACCTTGGTAAGTTGGTTGACTTTGGCCATGCCAGAGAAGAAATATCAGGAGCCACATGACCTTTGAGGCTGGAACACAGCCATGGATGCCTCCTGAGTTATTCAGCTCATAGTGCCGATAACGTTATCCTTAAACAAAATAAATATAAATAAATAAATGAACAATCAATAAATTTGTGACTTGTCTTCGTTAATTTTTTTTTAAAATAAAACAAATCTTTAGAAACGCCAGAAAATAAGAGGGGAAAGTTCAATTCACCCTCATTTTCTTTCAGGGAACTTTAACGAAAAACTTCCGGTACTGTTCACTTTAACAAAAAATCACATTTTTACACTAAAAAGTCAATCCTGGTACTATTCACTTTACCCTTTATTTTGTCTTTATCGTTAAAACTAAAAGTTTTCAAATCATTTTCATTAATGTTTCTTTTCTTTTATTTAGTTCAATTCACCCTATTTTTCTTTTATTCAGTGAAGAAGAAAGGGTATTAAAAAGCAGTTGCTTAGAAGAATTTTGAAATAACATTGGTATATAATTCTCACAAGGAAATTATAACATATACTAGTATTTATATGAAATAAAGAATTTAATTGCACATGTTCTAGAATTAAGATATTTATTGTAATAATGACAAAAATCAATAGATAATTAGATCTGACAATTTATTGCACGACTTGTTAACCCGATACAAATTTAATAGGTTTTGCGTCAACCCAGTAATAGATTGTGTCACATCCCCGCCCGGGTCCCCACCACATTCCGGGCTCGACTCCGCTGTAGCATGATATTGTTCGCTTTGGGCCCCAACTACGCCCTCACGTTTTGTTTCTGGAAACTCACACGAGAACTTCCTAGTGGGTCATCCATCTTGGGATTGCTTTCGCGCGAACTCGATTAACTTCAAAGTTCCAATGGAATCTGAAACCAGTGAGTTCCTAAAAGGCCTAGTACTAGGTAAAGATGAGAATATACATATAAGGCTTACAGGATCCTCACCCCTGGATGATGTGGGATGTTATAATCCACCCCCTTAGAGGCCTGACGTCCTCGTCGTCACACCTCCGGCCAAGGATTGGCTCTGATACCAAATTGTCATATCCCAGCTAGGGCCTCCACTATATCTAGGGCTCGACTCTACTGTAGCACGATATTGTCAGCTTTGAACCCGGACCACGCCCTCACAGTTTTGTTTCTGGGAACTCACAAGAGCAGAACTTCCCAGTGGGTACCCATCCTGGAAATGCTCTAGCCATTTTTCTTGCTTAACTTCGAAGTTCCTATAGAACACGAAGCCAGTGAGCTCTCAAAAGACCTCATGCTAGGTAAAGATGAGAATATACATATAAAGCTTACAAGATCCTCACCAATGGGCGATGTGGGATGTTACAGATTGAGTCGTTATCAGGTCACCCGTTAGGATAACGGGTCTGACATGATATGATTCATTAAATAATAGATATGACATGAAAGCGACACGAACAAGACAAATACGAGTCGTTTGCCAAATCTACTCATTAGGCCTGACAATTTATTACATAACCCATTAACCAGACCTGACACTACACAAAAGTAACATGTTTTAGGTCAAACTGTTAATAGAACTTATCGTAATCAAGTCACTGGTTAAGAATCCGTTAAGATAATGGGTACGACACAATACAAACTGTTAAGATAATGGGTATGATATGAAAACGATACGAATAAGACAAACATGACCAGTTAGAACATTTCTAAATGCTTATACACAATGTTTATAAATAAAAATACAATTAAGATATACCTTGGTAAATCATGGATACGATGTTTGAGAATTGCAGACAAGTCAAGCCCTTTAGAAATAGAGTCATCTTTTACCTCATCTTGGTATTCAGATGCCTCAATACTTTGCATCATTTTCTCTACACAAATCAAAATCTAAAGAAATTCAGATCAAGTTATGTTATTTTTTATTTTTATTATTGTGCACGAACCTGGGAAGTCTAGGGTCCTTTTTATTGATAAAGGCGGTTTGAAAACACAGTGGGCATATATCTGTGTGCGGCATTTGGTTTTAATAGGTCTCATATTTTTTTATGGATTTAATAGGTCTCATATGGTTTTCATTTATTTTGACCAATGAGGGCTTTTTTATTTTTCATTTTTTATTTTAAAATTTAAAATTATTTGATTGGGGAGAGAGGCCAAAGGCCCAAAGCACTTCCTTACACATGAATCTTCATAATATTAAGAATTATCACACACGTTTTTTTAACAAACAATATTATCTACTCTAAGGAGGAGGAGAGGGTGAGCTAATTCTCATAATGGAGTAGCAATAATGTGGATCAAGTTCATGTTTGACCAGAATCAAACCTACCCCTCATTTACAAGTGAAGATAAATATTACTAGATCGTAGTATTAAGTAAAGGTGGACACGGTTTGATTTGGTGTGGTTTTAAGTGAAACCACAACCAAAACAGAAACTTTTTCTTGTGTAGTTTTGAAGCCAAAACCGAAATGAAACCAAACAGTTTGGTTTGGTTCGGTGCCGTTTCAAACAGTTTCGGTTCAGTTTTTTTTTTTTTTTAAATGTACAATTTAAAATTTATACCTATCTACGCATAACACGGTCTCATTTTTCACACAATACATTAATTAATCAACCCACATGAGAATTCTTCTCTTTACTACTCTCTCTATTCTCTCATTTACATTTTATCACAGCAAGAAAATGGTATGGGAGAATGATATATAAACAACTAGTTAGCCTAGCTAGCTAATTGCACAAGTGATGGACTCTGTGACTGAGCAGGAAAAAGCACCCAAATGGAGTGATGTGGCTTATTATTTGATCAGAGATTGGTCTTTGTTTCTCTCCTTTTGTGAGTAACTCTTGTTTGATGCTCATTGTTTCTTTTTGAATTTTCATTTACATTTCTGATTAGTCTTATTATATAGGCCGTCATTCTGAACTTGAAAATTAGGGTTATGAGGTGCTTTTACTGGTAATAAAATGTTCATCTTTTCCTGTAAAGAAACAGTGAAGATGCCAAGCTTGATGAGGGTATTAACTTTGGGAAAAATAATCATTATTATAATATTATGACATGTGCACACTAGATCTATAGACTCTAACCACCAATTAAAACACGACATCTAATTTGAGGTGCTTTTTCGGTTTCGGTGCGGTTTTCAAATGCCAAAACCAAAACCAAACTGTTTCCTACACTGCGGTTCGGTTTCAAAACCACAACCGTTTCAAAACCGCAAAACCGAACCATTTGGTGCAGTCCGATTTGGTTCATGTTTGGGTTTGGGTTTTTGGTTTCAAGTGCCCACCCCTAGTACTAAGTGGCTTATCACACAAGTTTTATGTGAAGTGATTAAACAATATAGCATGTGTCAGTTTACTAGAGATTCTTTCGAAAGACTATGAGAGATACAACTCACCATCCAGGAAGGAAGTCGAATCTAAGACAGTGAAGATGAATATTACTAGACCATATTAAGTGGCATCATATCTTCTGAATCTTTTAAAATCGCCTTTAATAGAAACAACAAACTCTCACAGTTTTAGCCTATCAATTACATTCTTCAATGTACAACCCCTCACTCCAACTTTCTCAGAAACCTATTTGTAGCCTAACATGGGTTCCTTCAGAAAATCTGAATTAAAAGGAAGGACATTGCACCACTGCCAAAGTTTTTGATGATTCGAATACCCCTCAAATTTTGGTGTCCATATTTTTTTATGGTCAACGTTAGGCGCCTAGATGATGAGCAATTTATCAATTTGGATATCATTGAGGACTGAATTCGGATGCACAGGGTCTATGCAAGAAGTACAGACAGATCATTCCAATGCAATTTACACTCATTATACAAATACAGTTGAATCTGATTCCCACGGATGCATTGTTAATTACCATAACGCATTTCAAGCATTTCACTCAGAAAAAAGAAACAACTATAATAAAATTGTGCATGACGTCGATTAAGATAATATACATGAGTTAAAAAAAGACACGGCCTATTTGCATAGTTCATTTACCAGGTAAAGAAAGTACCTCATCTCATAACCGGTTTCCAGCTTCCTTGGATAAACAGATGTTCTTTGAGACTGCATCGTACTCACTGGAGTTGCTTGTTTTGCTTGTTTCCTCTAGATGAAGGTATAGTCAAATTCATGATTGCGCACAAGCGATGTTTGGTCAAAAAGGTTGCTTTAATCCAACCAAATCTCTCTCGTAGATGAGACGGACTCCACACCTTTTCACCTCCAAACCAGGGCCTAAGGTTTTAAATGTAAACTCAAGGTGATGACAACTGTCTTGCCATGTTGTACCAAAGTATTCACCAGATACAAAGGATAGCCAAAGGTGCTCTTTCTCAATTTGCCCTAACTCTTCGCTGCAGGCGAAGGAAGGACACCAGCCACCTACACCCAAATTCCCAGGCTTCACTTCGCAATGAAGACCATGTGCAGTGCTATGGGTTCCGTAGTTCCATTTACCAAGCAGATTAGGTGGGAGTCGTTGACGGAGAGTGAAAACAGCACACAATACATATCCCATCCACTTGTTCTTATACCAGCGTTGAGGGAGCTCCATGCTTACCACAGGCCTCTCACTTCGATAACTAAACCACTCAGAAATTTCACTGCCAGGATATATAGCTTCAAATTTATTCCCTTCGTAAGGGATTCCCTATATAATACAAAATCACAAATAGTGAAGTTAAGCAATTGATATGTCCGTCTTATAAATAAGTACAAAATGTTTTTTTTGTGTGTGTGTGTGTGTGTGTGAGAGAGAGAGAGAGAGAGAGAGAGAGAGAGAGAGAGAGAGAGAACCTCAAGGAATCTCCTTAATGCTGCAAATGCTACATTGTTGCAGCCTTGGTCGTCAACCACTTCAAAGCAATTAATAAAACTGAAACATGATGACAGCCTTTCCTGTGAATAACTGCCTTTTCCCTCAACACTGAAGTTCAATTCTGTTGAAAGGTCAGGCAATTTTTTAAGACTCTTACAACCACCCAAATTCAAAATCTGAAGCTTAGACAGCTCTATGATGCTCTTGGGAAGACTAACAAAACTGTTTTTACTTAGATTAAGCGATACTATTGAGGACAAGGAGCCGAGACTTTCCAGGATTGTTACCTCCTCAAGATTACAGTCACTGATATTCAGTACTGTTAAAGAAAGCAAACTAGAATCAGTGGTCGGCAACAGAAAACTAATTGGACTTGTCTTCTTTCTTCGCATCGATTTGCAACCACAAAGGGATAACAATTCAAGATTTTCCAGACGGCAAATGGAGGATGGTAGATCATTAATAGAGGTACCGCCCACATCAAGCTCCTTCAAACAAACCATCTTTCCCAAGTTTTTTGGCAGTTCTTCAAGCTTTGAGCATCCACTGAGATTGAGACTTTTGAGGGAGCGCAACTGGCAAGTACTGCTTGCAAGGGAACTGAGATTTCTGCAATCTCTCAGGTTTAATAAAGTAAGGCCAGTCAGACATTCGATTGAAGAAGGTAATTCTTCTACAGCAGTCTTATCTAAATAAAGTTCCAACAAGTTTTCCATAGGTCTCACAAATTCTGGAACTTTACTAATTTTTGAACAACCGGAAAGAATAAGAATCTGAAGACTTTCTGTTCCAAAACGTTTGGGAAGGTGTTCAAGACTTCTGCAGTCCTTAAGATTTAAAAAAATAAGCCTTTTGAGCTCAGCTATGGATGGGTGGATCATCACCAAGTTTATGCAGCCTTCAAGAATTAATCTATGAAGATTTGGAGTAACTGTAAAGTCCGGGGTCCTGGTCAGGTTCTGGGAGTAGCTAACGTTGACGAATTTCAGATTGCCTAATAACTGTTCAAAACATTAAAGCACAAATTTTAGTATATATTCAAAAAAAAAAAAAAAAATTTATGTGCTACCAGTGATCTGACCTTGGTTCTACTCCAAAGTTGTTCAATGCTGCTATGGCACAAGTTAACTTCACAAAGTTGCTCAAGTTCAAATTCTTGTGGGAGAAATTTTGAAGGATACCCACTCCATTCAAGAAACTTTAAGGCATTAGAAAGTTTTTTTGGGCCTTGGGTCGTTCGCAGATTATGAATTTGGAGAAATCTGAGATTATGCATCATCGAGAAGGCCTCCAAGTCCCAACATGCCTCTTCCAATTTAGGCAAGTCTAAGGCTATACCTTCAACTGCATTTGTTCCCTGATAACAGAGAATTCAGAATAAGTTCATTAGACAGTATAATTAAGTTTAGAACTACTTACTAAATTATTATATTCCATCTTCCTTCAAAACCACTTACCATATTATTCTTCAATACATGAATGACGTCCTCATGAAGCCACAACCTGCTTTGCTTTCCAGGATCATTAACAGCTTCTCTGCGTACCACTTGTTGTCCCATTTCTTGTATCAACCCATTCATCAACACTTTGTTATTTGAAATAGTTATGAGAGATCTCACAATGAGAGCTTCCATCCCCTCCTTGGGATTAAATCCAAAACAATCTAGTATCTCTACCACTCGTTCCTTGTCCATTCCTTGAAAGAAACAAGCAATATCTAGAAACATTCTTTTCTCATTGTCCGCCAGTCCATGATAACTTATTTCAAGTATTTCAGAAACTGTTTCATCAGGAAAGTGCTCCCGTTTTTTCAATACGCTATGCCACTCTTCAAGACTTCTGTGGAACAGTGAGGATCCCAAAACCTTGATTGCAAGGGGAATGCCTCTACAATAATTAACAAACTGTTTAGACAGATTCAAATAATCTTCTGGGGGTTCAACACTTTTAAAGGCGTAAATATTGAAGAGCTGAAGCGATTCACCCTCAGTTAATTCCTTAACTTCAAATATGCTATCTACACCATGCTTTCTTAGCAATTTCTCATTTCTAGTCGTAACGATGACTCTGCTCCCCAAACCAAACCATTCCCTGTTTCCAGCCAATGATTCCAGTTGGTGTAAGTTGTCAACATCGTCTAAAATGAGAAGAACCTTTCTCTTACGTAGAATGTTCTTTATCATTGTGGCTCCCTCGTTAACATTTCGAACATCTATGTCTTGCCTCAAAGCCTCATAAAGAAGTTTCTTTTGCAGTTGCAGATCACCCTGTGTTTCACTTAGCTCCCTAATATTACGAATACGGGTGAAAATTTCAAATTCAATGGAAATGTTGTTAAAAATCACATCGGCGATAGTTGTCTTGCCTATCCCACCCATCCCCCATATCCCTATGAAGCGAACATCATTTGATTCGATATCCAAAAGCCTATATAGTTCCTCTACTCTTGATCCAATTCCCACTAGCTGCTCAACTTCAGATGCCACGGGTTGCAATGCATTCAATATGAATACAACAATTCGTTCGACTGATTGTGACTCATACCTATGCAGAAGAAAATAAATGTTAATCATCTGGAAATATTTGAAAGAATCCCGATGGAAGTGCAAGGCTTTTGGTTAAGAACCAAAATGTATGATAGGATCACAAATCTCAAGACCCTTAATAGTGATTAAGCTAATCACTAATTACAGATCATATCAATGTATGACAATAATCTATCTATCTCTTATGAGAGGACTAATCAAAAAGCTAGCTAGCAACGAAATTCATCTCTTTGCACAGCTTAACATATGATATCACAAACTACAGTCAGCAGCAAAGAATACAAACATACATATTACATAGCAAAAATATAAAATAAAATAAAATTTTGTTTCCTACTGAATCTACTCACCGATCCTCGCGTAGCACAAATCCAGACAGATCGGCTACTTGACGAAGAGCGTCCCTCCAGGCGTGCACTTTTTCGATATTGTCCTTGAAACGTTGTTCGTGCTTGGCAAAAGCATCACCGAAACCGCCTGTCTGATGTCGTACATCGGATGGGTCCACATCATAGAAGACAGGTAAAACTTTCTGGCCAGTCACTTGCCTACAATCGAGAATTTGTTGAAGCTCATCCAAGCACCATGTTGAACTGGCGTAATTTCTTGAAAGAATGACAATTGAAATTCTTGAACTTTCGATTGCCTTGCGGATTTGTGAGTTAATGGGTTCTGCCCCAGGACGTAGACAATCTTCGTCTCTCCATACGACGACTCCGTTTCTACTCAGAGCCGCCTCTAGATGGCTTACGAAAATCATGCGAGTGTCTTCGCCTCTGAAACTGAGGTAGACATCGTGATCAGTTGGTTGCGCGGTGGCCATGGATCCCAACGGAAATCTCTGCTGCTCAACATCAGGTGCCACAGGTTGCAATGTATTCAATATGAATTCAACAATTCGTGCGACTGATTGTGACTCATACCTATGCAGAAGAAAATAAATGTTAATCATCCGGAAATAATTGAAAGAATCCCGATGGAAGTGTAAGGCTTTTGGTTAAGAACCAAAATGTATGACAATAATCTATCTGTCTCTTATGAGAGGACAAATCGAAAAGCTAGCTAGCAGCGAAATTCATCTCTTTGGACAGCTTAACATATGATATCACAAATTACAGTCAGCGGCAAAGAATACAAGCATACAAATTACACAGCAAAAATATAAAATAAAATAAAATTCTGTTTGCTACTGAATCTACTCACCGATCCTCGAGTAGCGCATATCCAGACAGATCGGCTAATTGACGAAGAGCATCCCTCCAGGCGCGCACTTTGTGGATATTGTCCTTGAAACGTTGTTCGTGCTCGGCAAAAGCATCACCGAAACGGCCTGTCTGATGTCGTACGTCGGATGGGTCCACATCATAGAAGACAGGAAAAACTATCTGGCCAGTCACTTGCCTACAATCGAGAATTTGTTGAAGCTCATCCAAGCACCATTTTGAACTGGCGTAATTTCTTGAAAGAATGACAATTGAAATTCTTGAACTTTCGATTGCCTTGCGGATTTGTGAGTTAATGGGTTCTGGCCCAGGAAGTAGACAATCTTCGTCTCTCCATACGACGACTCCATTTCTACTCAGAGCCGCCTCTAGATGGCTTGCGAAATTCATGCGGGTGTCTTCGCCTCTGAAACTGAGGTAGACATCGTACTTATTTGTTTGCACCATGGATCCCAACGGAAATCTCTGCTCTCTTCTTCCTTAATGCAAACCCAGACTGATCAAATCCAGATCTCTCGGTCTAATAGCATAGGAATGGAATATGAAATGTCAACGGCCAATTACAACCGTCCGATGCGGAGCAGCAAATCTCACCCGTCTAATAAGTTCCAGTCGCCATCGACTGTTGCTCTAGTTTCTCTCGTTTTATTTTTATTTTATTTTTGTGTAGGATCCATTATCTATTCTATTCTATTAAGAAAGAGTGCTACTAAGTCTAAAACCACCCCATTGTCTTATTTTCCTACCCACCTTTTAATCAAAATATTAATCACATAATTATCCTTTTAGCAAAAGACTTTTAAATCCACCTTTATAAATTTGTTATAACTTTAATTAAATAAACTAAAAGAGAATATAGAAAAACTAAAACTAACGAAAGTAAAAATAAATCCATCATCCTCCCAAATCATCCACGATGGACCGATGACTATCAAATCCCTAATCATCCATTACCCTCCCCAGCAACAAACACCACCCCACTCTCCCTTTCAATTATGGTACTACCAACTCCATCATCTCCTCCTTTTCCTCATAAACGAACAACGACGACAACCCAGATTTTAAAATAAAAGAATACCCAATTCTAGTTGGAATAAATCAATTTGGAGCAATCTGCCTCTATATTGGAAAACTTCCCCTGTGCTTCTTTCTTCCTTTCCCTTTGGTTTCTCTCTCTTTCCAAAGGAGTTACTGCCAAGCAAGTGTCAAAGATTTTGGTTTTTGATGGGGGTGGGAGGAGGTTCTGATGTGGCTAGGGTAATGGCAATTAAGGAAGCATGAAATTTTTTTTTTTAAACATATTAATATTATTGTTTAAAAAATTAGACATTAGAGGTTATTTTAGGAATAATGGTGGGTAGAGAAATAATATTTTAATTTTTTTAATTTTTATGATGGGTGAAATTATAATGTGGGTGTAGAAATAAGACAATGTGATGGGTCTATCATCACTCTTAAGAAAAGAGCCTTGTCAACTTTTTTCCCAATTTTTTCCCAATTTTACCCTCATTTTTTAATACACAATATTGACATGAGGAATAGTAATTTTGTACCTTTTGACAAAATAACAAGGGGTGTGATATCCACACACCCCATTTTACTTCTCACACACCCTTTTACTTTTCGGCCGTCGGATCGGATGAATGGAAGAAGATCAACGGACAAAAATTAACAAGGGTGTGTGAGAAGTAATTTGGGGTGTGTGGATAGCACACCCCAATAACAATCATATCCCTATTTTTTCTTATTTTACCCTTTTTTTTTTACAAAATGACAATCATATCCCTATTTTTCCTATTTTATCATCACTATTAATACACAATATTTACATAAGGAGGATAAAAAACAGTAATTATGTAATACAACAACAACAACAACAAAGCATTTTCCCACTAAGTGGGGTTGGCTATATGAATCCTAGAACGCCATTGCGCTCGGTTCTGTGTCATGTCCTCCGTTAGATCCAAGTACTCTAAGTCTTCTTCGGGTCTCTTTCAAAGTTTTCTTAGGTCTTCCTCTATCCCTTTGGCCATAAACCTCTGTCCCGTAGTCACATCTTCGAACCGGAGCGTCAGTAGGCCTTCTTTGCACATGTCCAAACCACTGTAACCGGTTTTCTCTCATCTTTCCTTCAATTTCGGCTACTTTTACTTTACCTCGGATATCCTCATTCCTAATCTTATCTTTTCTCGAGTGCCCACACATCCAACGAAGCATCCTCATCTCCACTACACCCATTTTATGTACGTGTTGATACTTCACCGCCCAGCATTCTGTGTCATACAGCATCGCTGGCCTTATTTCAATCCTATGAAAAAACAGTAATTATGTAATATTAAGATAAAATATGCACTTATTAAGAGAAATTGTCTCACCATCATTTTTTCATACTCTTTTTAAAATTTTAAAAATAATCACATTCCTTAATAAAAAAAAACAAAAAACAAAATGAAATTGTTCACACACACAGAGTATGTGTTCATCGGCTAGTTTTGAATTAAGCACCTTGTCATATGTACGATACAACGTTTTTTATGGACAAACTTACCATCTAATTTTAATCTCAAGCACACCCATCAGTGCCATCACCAATTTCCATTCATAACGGATTCAGATAAATCCATCCATCTATATCAGAAAAGTGAGAAATTCATTCTCAGAGTGAAGTGAATTCAAGTCCGTTTCTTCTTTTCTATTATATCCTTTTTTATTTTGGGTCAAAGTTTTATTTGCTTGTGAAATTGTGATTAGATGGTGGCTAATGAAATGAAATTGTGATTAGATATAGTTTCCCTCTTAATTGAAATTGTGAAATGATGGAATTCAAACTAGGAAAATTAGTGCTCCAATTTTCATGAATTTTTCCGTGCGGCAATTGTTGATTTCCGCGCGTCAAGTAGCCAAGCACAGCAAATCAATTCCCATCCCTCAATTCCTGACTTGTTTTTCTACACCTAAACATACTGCAAAATCAGTTTGTTGAAAATACTTCTTTTTTTTAAGAAAATCTCTACGGTACAAAGAGAATTTTATTGATATCGAGAAAAAAAATACACCTAGTTAGGGGGACTTAAACCTAACATCTCATAATACAAGAAAAATGATAAAAGATACATGACAAAAAATGGGAGACATAAATTTTACGCTTCTAAAAACAAAAACAACAAAGATACAAGAAAAAGGGAGGGAACATGTAACCCAACCCCTCTAAAGCCGAACCTAAATGTCTAAACCTGCAAAATAGAACAAGCAACGACACAAGGTTAAGAAGAAAGACAAGAAGGTGAGACAAACATGTATGCCTAGATGCACATTTATTTGAGAAATAGAAGTCAAGAAAGCCAATATAGTCTGAAAACAAAGCAGCACGAACCGCCATAGGATTTGAATCATGTCATACCAAACTTGGAGAAGACAAGACCATGTTAGCAAAAGTGTATGCAACCACATTTCCTTCACGATATATGTGAGAGGCTAGAATGTTATCTTCCGAATACGGTCCAAACAAATAGACCATTGCGTACGAAGAGGCTAATGAGGATCAAAATCAGTCAATTAGAGAGTAGAAACAACACTAGAAGAGTCACTTTCCAGCCAAAGACAATGTCAACCCCACTTATATGCAAACTCTACACCAATAACAACTGTTGATTGTTCTGCAACAAAACAAAAAAAGAAAAAAAAACCAATTCCTTGGCAGAAACTACCATGAAACTGACCATGGCAATCCCGGAAAACTCCTTCCCAAGCAAAAGCAATGAGTCAATACTAAGCAATGGTAGCAGCCATGAACGGAGACAGGTAAGGCCTAGGGGGGCTTTAAACACCCCTCCTCCTTGTTTTTTTTCCTCACGTTCTATTGTTTAAACATTGTTGAGTTGTATGTATTTGGTTAATTAGTACGAATGAGCATTAGATTGCCAATACAACAATTAAAAATAAAATTAGACAATAGGGCAATAAAATTAGGCATTTTGTAACTAATTTTTTCAACTTTTGTAATAAAAAAAAAATTAGCTTTATTTGTCCACAAAAATGAGCTTAAATTTTTAAGGTGCCTCATGTGGAGCAAAAACTAATCAAGAAAATTATGGAGGTGACACGTGCACTTTTGGATTAAAAGGACAAAATTACCTTCGAGACACACCGGGATTCCTACGCGCATGCAACGGACAATAACGACTCAATCAAGAAAGAGTCAAAAGGTGATCAAAATGATATTTATTCAAATCACTCTCATCACTTCTCATCAAATCCTCACTCAAAAGGTAACTCTCAATTTTCCTATTCAATTTAGGATTAATTGCAAGATATTATTTCACATAATATCTTACAATTATACTCATATTCCCACCATATATGGCTGGACCCTATTATCCAAATAAGGCCAACCACACCCTTATATATAGCCCCACATTTCTCCAAAAACCTAAGTCATTCTTTTCCTAAAATTCTCTAAACACTTTCTTTCTCAAATTCTAACTTTGGCATCGGAGATTCTTCGACCAAAGCCCCCCATTCATTGTGGACGTGTGAGACTCTTGGCCTTGATCTCAAGTGTTATTGTTTTGCAGGTGCATTTTCGTTAAAGGAGAAGAATGAGGAAATTTGCATTCACAAATTGGTGCTTTCATTGAGAGCCTTAATTCACATGCTCGAAGAAGACTCTCGCATTTAAATGTTTCTCATTTCTAGTTCATTCGTAGATTTTTCGTACGTTCTTGTTCCTAGAATTTTTTTATAAAATTCTTTGAATAAACGTAAAAGAAAAGTACAATGACTAGAGATTCGGAATCCACAACAAACAGAAGTTCCTAAGTTTGAGAATTTAGACCACGATGATCTACAAGGGTCAACGTGACGATAAGTGGAGGGGCACCACTGTGGCTATGCCAACGATAGCCACCACGACAATAGCCACTGTGGCAGCCCACGATGAGATCTGAGCCCAAGGTGGAAGCCTCACCTTGTAGCTGCAAGCCCATACCTATGCCACCTTACAATAGCAAGCCCAGACCCGCGCCACAAGGAAGTCCAGCTCGGCCCAGCACAAGCAAGCCCAAACTGCAGTTGCAGCTGCTAAGGCAGCAACCCAAACCTTGCGGGCCCAAGGCTAGAGTGAGCTCAGTGCGCCCTAAGGCCAAGCCATGCCACTTCAAGACTCACGGGCCTAAGCCTAAAACAAGCAGGCCCGAGCTGCGACCCAGCACTCTCCCAAGCCGAGCCCAAGCCCAGCACCCACGTACGTTACAAGCGGGGCAACCCACTCCCATGGGTAGAGGCGGGTAATCACGGTTCGGGATGGGTACATGCTGGTTTCTAATATTTTAGAGAACAAACGGGGCGGGCCGGGCTGAGCCCTTTTCATTTATGGGGTGGCTTAAGTCTAGATATTTATAAAAACGGGTTCCCGGACCGACCTGTTTCTAATTATAATGAACAACCGAGATTGAATGATAACCTATCATCCAATCTTAACCGTTAGTTTCTACCCTAGGTTCTACCTGA